GCTACTGGGGCTGAGCCTGGGAACTCCAGCGTCCACTGCCCGGACCCGAGTTTCTCCTCGGCCTTCCAGTAAGGCTCAGCTGAGCGCCCCAGCACCCTGAGTCCTGTGGGAGGAGAGGCGCGGTAGCCTTGGCTCGCCCGGGGCCCAGGGAGCCTCTCCCGCCGTTAGGACAGAGAGGCCCTGGAGTAGGACAGAACTGGCACAGGCAACCCACGGGTCGTGCGTGCAGGATCGCTCCGGGGGAGAGCTAATCCTAGCCTTACGAGATACTCCTGCGGTCCTCGGTGACTGCAACTTTTACGCAGGCTCTTCGGCCACTGCGCTTCGCCCCCACACCCGCCAAACTCGGGGAGCCCTCCGGGTGTAGCAGCCTGCCTGAGGTAGCGCCGTAAATCAGCGCCAGAATAGGAACAGAAATGATTGGAAGAAAGAAGCATGACTGGGATTCTTTGCTCTCTCTCAGCCTCCCACCCCAGTAAACATCACCAAATATCAGGGGGGAGGGGAGGGGAGGGGACAAGGCGCGAGACTCGGNGGAAACCTCAGAGAGATAGGCCTGAAAGTCAGAAACATGCCCCAAGTTAATTTCGCCGTCCAAAATCTTGCAACTGTAGAGATCAGTCCAGTCGTTTCTTTTTTGCAGAAGAGGATAAGTGCTGAAAATCAGGGCCACTGGGTTAGTAGTCAGTGTGGGTGGGACTCGAACTGGTATCCCTTACACCAGACTAGCCTGTCTGTCTTGGAACCCCCAAAGCCCATTTGTCACTCTTGTGGAATTATTTCGCTTTGTTTATGGTGTATTGTGTGCTTCATGGTTAGGGATGCGGTTTCGGAGGAAGACTGAGTGTTCATTTGCCTCAGCTGCATGACTGACTCACCCGCCGATGCCTTAGCTAAATTATCAATCCCCTTCACCCCTTTGTCCTATTTCCCTTCCTGGCCCCTAGTATCTGTCCTTGGAATGACCATCAAACCCATGGCAAAATGCACCCACACACCCCGTGGACCCCTGGGGATTGAGTCTCCGGGGTGCGTGTGTGAGACAGAGAGAACGTGCACGTGAGCTCGAATCTGTTTGTTTCTGTGATTTTGTATTAAAAAGTGACTTGGTCTAAGGCCACTTAGCCATTAAGTGGCAAAGCTGAATATGAAAGTTAGGTCCGAAGACAAAGTATGCGCTTGACATTTTGATGCAGGGCAGATCAGAAATCCCATGACATCACTTCCCTCTATCTCTTTACATCTGGGGTCCTGGCCGGGTCTCTTCCTGCCTTGTCCCAAGTCTTTGTCCTCTGACCAATGGTTGGCCTACGTGGAAGGACCTTGTGAAGTAAACAGATTTTCTGTGCTCTAGAGGTGACCATCAGTGAAGCTATCTAATGTTCCAAGAAATTCTGCCTTGTTTATTTAAAAATCATTTTCCTGAAAATTTTCAAATATACACCATAATAGAGAGAAGGCCCCCAGCTTCAAGAGTTATTAATATTTTGCCACCCTTGCTTTATCTATCTCTTTTCTCTTTTTTCACTGAAGTATTTTAAAGCAAATCCCAGACATCAAGTCATTGCATCTCTACAAATATTAAATAATCATTATGCCATTATTGTACCTAAGAAAATTACCAATCATTCTTTGGTATCATCTAATCCCCAGTTCCATGTTCAAAATGTTCCTAATTTCCCCCCAAATGCCTTTTTACAGATGGCCTGAGTTCCGTTGATTTTTATAATTTATCCACATTGTGTGCTATTCCTTGTTTGAGTCTTGCAACGTCCCACTAAAGAGTGAGGTGGGTATTTTTTTTTTTTTTAGTTTTTTGGTGGAAATTTTATGTTATGCTTTCAAAAAGAAGTCCTGACTTCAATTAACATTTCCTTGACAAGATTTAACAATATGTACATCTAAATGCTTATTTACTTTTCCTGTCATTGTTAGCAATCCTCTAAGCTTGAAAACATTTTTCTTTTGGCAAACATCAGTTTTGTGTGTTTTTTTGTAAACTTTAAAATACCACTTTATTTATTTATTTTTTTAATTTTATTTTTGTTTAGAATATTACAGATGTCCCTTTTTCTCCCCAATGACCTGTTCCACCCCGTCCCATCTCCCTCCCCAGTCCCTCTCCCTACCATTGTCGGTGTCCTTGGGTTGTGCATATATGCATATAAATTCTTTGGTTACTCTCTCCTCCTCCACCCACCCTCCGAGATGGGTATTTTTGAGTTCATTTTATAGTTGAGTAAATGACAAACAGATAAGCTGTCCAGATGGCACAGCTGGTGACTGATGGAGCCAGGACCTGCCCTAACCTCCTCACCCCTGGACAGCTGTGAGGGAATATCAGCTGCTCTCTCTCTGAAGCATTCACTTTGGCTGTGGCTTCATCCTGGGCTTATCACTTCTTATACACCTGCCGTGATAAAGCCCTGTGGAAATATTTAGTAATTGGCCATTTGGTGCTGGAGATAAACTGGCTGCAAGGCCAGGAAGCCTGGGTTTCTTTTCCAGTTTATTGTTAAACTGTACAAAAGCAACTTATGTCTCAGGGGCTCAGAGGTGGCCCTCTGAATTAGGAGGTATAGTTTTCCCCCACCCTCTGGCTCCTGGATCTGAAAATAGGTAGGATGAGTGAAATGCCTGCAGCTGGAATTCCTGGACGAGACAAAGGCAAAGGCCCCAGAAAGAAATCTCATTGAGAGCAATTACCCCTCGCTGATCATCACTAGGGATTTGGGCAGGAGACATCTTTAATCGGAGACTCCTACATTCTCCACAGTCCTTCTTCATTTATGGAAAACTTTGCTTATTCTGCCTTTGTCTGGTAAGGATATAGAACAGCAGAATTTTTACTTTTAGCAACTTCATTCACTTTGAAATGGGGTGATAAATCATTTTTACATCTTATACATGAGGCTCTTGAGTCAGAATTCTCTTTCCTTGGCTGGCTATGTAGGAAGATGGAATCTCATTTCTTCACCCTTAGATTTTTCTGCTCTTCTGTTCATTGCCCTGAAACAGACAGGGAAAGGGCAGACCTTCCATAAAACAGCCAGTCAGGATGGAGGAACTGGGTTGCTCCAACCCCATTATTCAGCAGCAGAACTCAAAAGGGGCAAAGCATCAGCCTTGAACCCCACCGTCTTCTGGCAACCAGACATTCTCTTCCCCCTTAGCTAACAGGCTGTCTCCTTGGGGTAGAATTTCTAGGTGATCAATGTCAGTAGCTTCCTTTTATAGTTTTGGGATTGTTAGGAGGTGCAGTTCCCTGTCCAGGGACCTGCCTGGGTTGAGAAGCACAGCTTGTAATTACTATTGTTTATTTCCCCCTGGAGAAAACCCTCCATACCAATCTTCATGGCAGTGCCACACAGAGCTCCCTGCACTCTGGACCCTGGGTGGGCCTTGAGGGCTCAGATGGCATGGCTGGATTCTGTCCTGCTGCAAGGCCACAGAACCAACAGGACTGGTGACTGTGGGCAGAAAGGCAGAGCCAAGCAGATGTCCACAGAGACAAAGCCACAGCAATGCGCTGCTTATCTCCTAAGTCTCCAGCTGTGTCTGCATTGAAGTGAGTCTTCAGACCGTCTTATCCTAGCGATTCCAGCTGTACTCCTGCTGGCGAGCATGGTGCATGGATGGCAGGGAACACACCTGGTGTGCCACCGGTGTTGGAGAAGTGTTTAGGCACCAGGACTACCCTTTCAGAATAGCCACTTGTCCGAGGGTGGTAAAGCATGATGGTGACAGTTTAGATAAGATTTCTGCCCAGAGTTTTAAAAAATGTTTGCATTTCCCTTGGCAGAAACAATCTACCCAGGCAAGTTGTGTGTGGCAAGTGCAGATACAGAGTGAGACTCAGTGTGTAATGAGGGTGTGATTAGGATAAGAGCTAATACGTTCTTCTTGCCCAAGGCTTTTTGATCCCTTTCCTTGGAATACCTTTAATATTATAATTTTATATGTGAATGGTGATTTTTCTTTTTTTTTTTTTTCATTGTCAAAATTTCTGTCAGACAAGCAGACACATCTGGCCACGTGGATGTCCCGTGGCAACAACTCCCATATGTTCCCCTTGATGTGTCACCAACATAATACTAAATAAGAATATCTTCTGAGGAAATCACTTCGCTTGCTTGTAAAGCATGTGCTTTATGAGAAGATAACTTATATCGATGACTTGTGAACTGCTTCATTTTCTTCGACAGCTTTTTTACACTGTCCTCCTTGAGTCTGGATCCGTGAACGTTCCTCACCCCCAGCCTTGTCCCGGGTACCGCTGCTGTCCTGGCACAGAC